TTCTGACAAATAGAACTTTTTTAGTTTTAAATCTACTCATCAATAAGTTGAAGAAAATGGATTTCTTCCGTGTCTGTTATCTGTATATGTTTTGGGAGGAAAACGCTTATGCCCCCCCTGTAACACTATCATACAGCTTACATGCTGTAACAGGACCATATTTAGTTGCAACGTCGCTCATCATTGTCTTGACCGGGTAACTTCTACCCACTGTCAAATCCCCTATATACTGATGCAACGGAAAAACGGAGAGTGAACGCCATTGTAACACCAATCGAACTGGTTACAGCAAAGAGAGCGAACTTGTATCTGCCACGGAACAATGGCGGACGCCCGGACGGGCCGTTGAGCATAGCGACCAAACGTGGTTTTGAGCATAAACGGTACGGACGAGCTAGACGCATACACACACGACGACCGCGAGACGCGGACGTCCGAGCTCGAGAAGCGCCGATCACCGGTAACGGTCTACCAGTGTTGCCAAAATCGCGGCTGCCGGAGCGCAGCGCCCACGAACATGGTTACTGCGGCGGTCGGTCGAGCGTGACCACCGACGGCGGCAATTCTGTTATCAAACGGAGCGAACATACTCCCCCTTGCAAGTTCCAGCTAACTTGGAATAAGAAGTTCGATCTGTTCTGAATGATGTTGGAGCTGGGAGCCTTGAACGGAGCAGTTGAGCAGTTGAACGGAGCAGTTGAGCAGTTGAACGGAGCAGTTGAGCAGCCCAGAGCGATGATCGGGTTTTCTTTACAAAGGGACAACATTTTTAACATTATTTTTTTGCAACGAAATATAACAGATCTACGGCATTAACCGAGCTAAAATAACAATGTTTAACAACATAGCATACAAAATTAATTATCCAAAATTTAGTTACATTATTTTTTTTTTTTATCATCATAAAAACATATCAATATAGTAACAACATAATACCTGAAAGTAAACAAAATTAAAAAACAATAAACATTGCCATACCCCACTGGATCCAGAGGTGGAGCAACCGGCCCAACATCCAGAAGCAGGCGTGATGGCTGGTAAAACCAAATAATTACAGTTTATAACACATAATGATCTCAGCCATAGCGGACGAGTATAAGGGTGCAAAGGAAACTGGCGGACGGAATTACATCTAATTAGTACCTATCGCGTCCTACAAATCTGTAGGTAACGGTACTAACTTCACAACTGGTCTAGTGAACACTCCCTGGTTGGTCCTAACCTTTGCCACCCGCACTATCTTATCTGTGCCCGGATACACCTCGATCACTCTACCTAAAGGCCACGTAAGAGGGGGGGGGGGTGTCGCTAATTTTTACTACCACCATATTACCAACTTCGACGTTGTTGCTATCTTTGGTCCACTTTCCACGAACTTGGAGAGTATTTAGATATTCCTGGGACCAACGTCGCCAAAAGAACTGGAAAGACTGCTGGAGGCGCTTCCAGCGAGTCTGCAGTCCTGTTTGCGTACTGGTAATCACAGGTTCCGGGATCGATATCAGAGGACGACCAATCAAAAAATGACCGGGTGTTAAGCATTCCAGGTCATTCGGATCAGATGATGCTGGTACTAGAGGGCGCGAATTCAAAGCAGCCTCTACTCGACATAACACCGTGGTAAACTCTTCTAACGTCCAAACTTGGGAGTTCATGGCACGAAGAAGCAATGCCTTAGCCGACTTCACTGCAGCTTCCCAAATTCCTCCAAAATGGGGAGCACCAGGAGGGTTGAAATGCCACACGCACGCAATATGACCAGATAATTGATCTCTATTATCCGGATGATTTACTAATTGTCGCAGCTGCCTCGCTGCACCGACAAAATTGGTGCCACAGTCCGAGTAGATCGACGTCGGTAGACCACGACGAGCCACGAATCTATCTAACGTTAATCGAAAAGCCTCGGTCGACAGGGCAGAAACTGGTTCCAAGTGCACCGCTTTGGTGGACATACAAACGAATACCGCAATGTATACCTTCACGATACGAGCTTTTCGCAGGCTGAGTTCCCTCATTTGCAAGGGACCTGCATAGTCTATTCCAACTACAGAGAACGGATGAGCTTCCTGAACGCGAAACCTAGGCAGATCAGCCATCATAGGTTGAGGGTTAATGGGCTTGATCCTTGCGCATATTGTGCACCCGCGGATCACGCGATGGACCACAAGGCGAATGCCCACGACCCAGAAACGCCTCTGAACGAGTGCGGTTAGCAACCGCGGACCGGCATGGCAGGCGTAGCTATGCCAATGGCGAGTAACGAGCATCGCCAAGTGCGCTTCCTTAGGTATTAGCATCGGATGCCTCCGACGTTCGGACCAATTCGTGTTTTGAAGACGACCTCCTACACGGACTACCCCGAATGAGTCCAAGAACGGAGAAAGGCGAGCAATCCCTTTACTCCGAACTTCCTCATCGCGTGTTAAATTGCTGATGACTTCACGAAAAAAGCAACCCTGTGCGCTTTTCACGACCGTGATTAGAGCAGTGTCCAGCTCGGACTGTTTCAAGAACCCTGATTCGACCTCCATCCTACGACACCTGGATATGAAACGGCGAAGTCGAGCTACTACCCGTAGCATATGGTCGAAAGAAGAGAACCGAGTATACCATTCTTCTGGCGGATGACTTTGCGCCACTACACTGGCTGCACTTCCGGCAGCTGATCCAGATTTAGCCTGATGATTCCCGTTGACCAACTGTCGACACTCGATAACAGAAAGTTTGGTCCCTTCCAGTACAATGCCGCCTCCTTGAGTTCAGACGGGCGAAGTCCTCGAGAAGCACAATCTGCAGGGTTGTACTCCGACCGAACATGTAACCACTGGCAAGCAGGAATGGTGGTTTGAATTTGGAAGATACGGTTAGACACGAAAGTCTTGAACGAGGTATGGGGGTTGCTCAACCATGAGAGCACAATGGTTGAGTCCAACCAGGCGAAGATATTCGAGATCTCAACGTGGGGTTCCAGAGCGCGTTTAATTCTTCCCATCCATAGAGCCAGTAGCACTACTCCACTCAATTCGAGCCGTGGAATTGAGGAGGTTTTCATTGGAGCTAACTTCGTTTTGGACCCGAGCAGAAAGACACCAACACTTCCTGACTTGGCCGTGACACGAAGGTAAGCAATCGCCGCGTATCCTTTCGTGGACGCGTCAGAGAAACCGCACAAATCATAGCTACATCCAGCGGAGCAGCCGATGTAGCGTGGAATCTTAATTCCGACAAGCCAGCCTAAGGACTGATAGAAATCACACCAATCCTCAGCTATATCCGATGGAAGTTGATCGTCCCTACCAATCTGTGCGACCCACACTCGTTGCATGATCGACTTGGCATAGAATGTTGCTGGCGCCAACAGTCCTAAGGGATCGAAAATTCTGGCGATCATGGATAGCACCCCACGTTTGGTAGGGATCATTTTGAAATTGTGAATGCTGAAGGAGAAATAATCTTGATCGTGATTCCACCGCATCCCCAATACGTGTGTAGCATCATTTTGCTCAAATGCTAGCGGATTTCCAGAGCAATCTTCCGGACGTAGGTGTTCCAGCAATTCTGGAGTATTGCTTGCTCATTTCTTCAACTCCAAACCGGATCTGGCGAGAGTGTTGATTAGGTTCGATTGAAGCGTTTTAGCGGCTTCCAACGACTCCCTACCCACACATATATCATCCATATAAGTTTGATGGTGCAGAGCTCCCTTCACATCAGGAAAATTTTCACATTCCGTTTCGGCGATGTAGCGGAGGACCCGTAACGCTAAATAGGGCGCACTGTTTACTCCATACGTGACTGTGTTAAGTGTATATTCTTTTAACGATGCTTGTGACGTATTCCTCCACAGGATGTATTGGTAACCCCGATATTGAGGCAGCACCTCGATCTGGCGATACATCTTGCATATATCAGTGGTGAAGGCCACTTTGTGTATTCGAAATCCAATCAGAACATCTACGATGTCCTGCTGCAGCTTCGGCCCGACCAATAACATTGGTTGAGGGAGACACCTGAATGGCATTTCGCCGACGCGTCAAACACCACTCTCAATTTGACACTGTCCCCTTCGGACTTCTGAATCGCATGATGGGGAATGAAGTATTGACCGGGACCTTCTGCGAGAGTCATATGACCTAAGCTCTCGTAATCGAGCATGAACTTGCGATATGCGTTGTAAAGCACTTCATCGGCTGATAATTTCTTCTCCAGCTGCAGGAATCTGTTTAACGCCACTTGTCGTGAACCCGGAAAATCTTTAACTGGACGGCCGGAGCGGAAGGGAAGAGGTACTGCGAACCGACCTCGAGAATCCCTGCGCATCTCCGAATTGAACAGTTCCTCACACAATCCGTCTTCGGTGAACTGAGGCGGAGCAGCTTCAGGTTCTTCCACATTCCAAAACCTTTCTATGATGGATTCCATAGACGATACTAGCGACACCAACATGGCTTGTGCACCAATATCTGGGTGCTTCTGAACGGGACCAATTAGCACCCAACCAAATACTGAGCTGTAAACGGAAGGGAAACCTGGACCCAACGAGCTGCACTTGTTCTTCCATACTTGGGGAAATATATCCGCGCCAATGAGCATCTCAACTGGAGCTGGCTCATCGAAGCTTGGGTCGGCCAACATCAGATGGCTGCATTTGGCTCGTACCTGAACTGGCAGTTGTCGAGCTGGCATATCTGACGTGATGGTAGAGAGTACCCAAGGCTTGACCTGGATCGCTGGCGTTGGCTATCCCTTGGCTGGATCGTCAACTGAACAATACCCTGTACATCCGGAGCCTTCTGGCCGGAAAGACCAGTCACAGGTACTGTCCATCGCGAGGGCTGTAATCCCAAGCGGTTACAGCAAGCCGATGTGATTGCACTGATCTGCGATGCCGAATCAATCAGAGCACGCACGGTCTGGCAACTGCCAATTGTATCTCGTACATGTACTAAAGCGGTCCCGAGCAAGACCGTTGGAGCTTGTTGGCGGCCTAACATGGCAGCCGGAGGAGCGGGTTTCGACGGTTCCTGATCTCGATGTAGTAGCGCATGATGGCGCCTCTTGCATATGGAGCACGAAGAGGAACACTTAAACGACATGTGCCCGTGAATCAAACAGACCATGCAAAGGCGATGCGTGCACACCACCTTGTAGCGTTCATCGACCGAGCAAGCCTTAAATTTCGCGCAATCAGCTAGTTGGTGAGCACCGGAACAAACGTAACATGACGCCGAAGTAGGTTTGGTCGAGGAATGTTTGGGCGTCGATACTAATGCGGTCTTCGATTCCCGACGGAAACCAGTTTTCTTG